TTATTTCCTAGCAATTTTTAATTTTTCTGAACCCATTAAGACGCTGCCTTTATCAATTTCAGAAATTTTCCGTTTCGAAGCGAAAGGATTTACAGAATTAAATGGACTACGTGTTATGATTTTCGTATCATCAACCGAGTCTCTGTACGATGGCAAAATCGATTCAGAATGTCCCGAAATGTCTGTCGTTGTGGCTAATAAGGAATCGTTTAACATACCAAATTTTCTGGAGTCATCTGACGTTGAATTAAAAGCAAACTTTTTAAGAGTTTATTTTTTGCCTGAACCCAATTCCATTGTTTTGGGTGCTAATTTTGTTGAATTGTTTAAAGGTTGGCCGTTCAGGTAGGTAGGTGTCGGATATGACGGTTGTAAAGTGTTTTCGACGAGTTGTTCGTCTTGTTTCCGTTTCTCTTGCTCTTCTTCTAATTGTGGCAATAGTTCAGTTAAGCGATCAGCTAGATGTATACGACCTAATTTTGTAGCATATTTAACTGCTAGCATTAACAAATCTGGACAAGCTATTGTCTCAATTAGTTCTTTAGCTCGCGTTTCTACTTCACCACGGCAGGCTAAAGCAAATAATTTAATAGAAACTTCTTTTATCACTTTGTTTGCATTATCAACTGCCATTATAGACGATCTAAGACGATCTAATCTTCCAGTAAAGTTTTTTCACTTTCTAAGTCACACAATGGCATTTGCAATGGTAACTCTTGCATCAAAGGCCTTGGAGTAGTCATAGGATAGGAGCAGCCGCGGCAAAGAACTGCCTGGAGTATTTGCGATCTCTCCGACAAAGATATTACGAAGTAATTATTGGAAACACTGGATGATAATTTCATCGTGTCGCAAACAGGATACCAACAGTTACTTTTCACATTAAACAATTGCACTAAGCCCATAGAGTCAGCGAATACCGGAGAGCCACAGTCGCTAAATCCCTGCCAAACCAATTGCCGTCCCGGCGTTAAAGGCAAAGTAATATTTTTACACTTTAAACTTAACCCGCAAGCTGACAGGAGCAGCATGGTAGCTCAGCATAATGCGATCTTCAAAGCCTGAGAGACATATCACTGAACCAGGTAAAGAAATTATTTCCCTTTGGCTGCCAGTTATAGTAAAAATGCGTAAAAATTGCATGCTTGTCGCTACAGCTACCAATTTTGTAGTAGCCACTACAGCTACCACATCTTCTTCAGACAACTGCATACTCCACTCCTTATTACCAGAAGCAGCTAAAGCAATTACTACTACTTTTGCTGAATCCTCACCGGCTAAAACTAAAGCCGTTGAACTTAGGCTCGCCATATTATGATTATTATAATTAGGTATATGCAATGAATGATGAACACTGGCGTCATGGAATTCTACGTCAATAGCAGCATTGGCGCCATCGGCATGAGAAGTTACAATACCCACGCCATTCCATACCAAATAACGATGTTCCAAATGAATGGGCGTGCAACTGGGCTGAAAAGCGCTTTGTAGCTTAAAACCGTTCGACATAGCGGGCGCATTTTTACCTAAACAAGGACTTAAAGACCCGTTGCGAGGCACGGAATCCTTAATATCTTCTACCATTTTCTAGCAATTTTTTGAGCCAAAATGCTTTTTCCGGGACTACCTGTAAACCGGTTTTTGCTAATTTATGTGGGTTGCAGCTCATCTTAGCCGCTGCGAATTGAAAATCACCAGATCAGAAATCAGAAGAATTTTGAGCGTGTCCTGATTAGCGTCGGCTTACCCTGAACAAACCATTAATATTAAACGGGAAGCTATTATTTTATAAAGAGGAAGGTGAACCTCTCCATCGAATTCAACCGTTATGTACACTGTTCGTTCACATTTCTTTATCATTTTTACATGTACAAGTCACTCATATCAAAATTTTTGCGACATCTAACACTGCTTAATTTATAATCTCGATTTTGAAAATCAGTTTCGATGAACGCAAAAATATATGTAATATTTGAAAAATCATAACTAGTGAAGCGAAGAAGTCTAAGACTTCTCGAAGTATTTGGACAGCATGAAAAATGCTGCCATTCAACGCATGAAAGGTTAATCTTTCTTTTATTAAAAGCGGAGAGATTTACTAAACTTTTGCTTTTAACTCATGAAAGAGTAAATCTTTAGGTATATAATAAATTGTTTTCAACTTTTCTAAAAATATAATGAAGGCGTGGCAGCTTTCGAAAAGGTGTTTTTCTTTCACTTATAACAGCCAAAGTATTAAAGCAAGCGAACACCGTGAGATCTTTTCGAATATTGCTCGATGCTCGAATCTTATTATGAATCTCTAACAATAAAATTTCATGGTAATCAGATGAAAGCTAAGAGAGAAATGGTAAGGCAGAGTCGCAACAAATTGTAAACGACGTTGCTTTTTTCGTACATTTAACTTAATTCCAAAAGGCAAGGAAAAATATATGTTTGCAATTTAAGGCTAAGGTTTGAGGAGATTGGTAACCGGTTAAGTAAATGAGACCCGTAAAGAGGGAAAAGATATTTAATTGTTGGTTGCTTGTGTAATGTCCACCATGTTAAGTATAAATCGTAGTAAAAAGACGTCATCCGAAACTGTGCATTCATATATTAGGGATTTTTATACACCATACTACTTGTGGTGGTACAGAGTATTAAGTTTGCGCTGAGAGTCGTTCGCTGCGTAGAGTCGTTTTTTTTTCCGATATGATTACCGAAATTTTCTTATTATTCAGAAAAAAATTCTGAATCTATTTAAGCTAGTGTAATGTCTGTCCATGTACTGCTTTGTTCAACCTGCATGAAATTTGGTACATTGACGTATTTTGACTCAAGGACGAACGATACTGAAAATAGCACTTCCTATCAAGGTAAGTCGTTATATGAAAGAATAATCCCGCTCATAAAAGAGCTCTAATGGCAAATAAGCCTTTATATGCCAAAACTGTGCGTGTGGTCTACTGTAGACATAATCGCGTATACAAAGATAATAATGGCTCAATTTTCAATATTTTATAATGAAAAATTCATCCACAATTGACTCGCATGGACTATTTTTGGAAATCGCAAATTCATATAAGGGTTTGCACGAATGGTAATAATAGGGAATTTGGTTTAGTTTTTAGGCCACATCATATATAAAGAGAAGGTGTAACTTCCAACTTTTTATGAAGGAAACTTTAGCAAAATTTGGAAGTTGTTGGCATCCTTCAATATGCGGACTTTCATGAAGAGCACGTAAATGAATGAATGATTGATTGTATTGTATAGGTGAAGCGATGAAAGGTATCTAATGGTCGGCCTTGTCCGACTATAGTATTTTTATTTGTTCTTTATTCAAGTGTTTTCATACTAATACTACTTTTCTTATTTTTATTGTTTAAAATTTAACAGTTGTTTTCCAGGTAGTTTTCAAATTTCGCACCGCACTATTAGAAAAACAAAAAACCAAATTGCAAATTTTATTATAAAAAAAAATATGAAATTACATTTAATAAAAATGAAAAAAATTCCGAATTAACAAAATTTTAATATTTAACCGATAGTTAAAATAATAAATTAAACAACACAACTAACTTACTTATATTTAATATTTTGTTGTTATCGTAATTTGAAGTTTTAATTTTTTGAACTATTGTTTTTATCCGCTTGCATGATTTGATAAACTGACGATAAGTGTACATAATAAGTAATAAAGTAATCTGGTTGGGGACTGGTGATCATCGTCGTGTATAACTGGAAATATAGTTGTACTTTTTTATGTTTTCTTGGTGGTTCGGTTAGAGGCAGTGGCAGCAGACGCAACTGTGCCGGTTTCGCCGCCTGCGCTTGTTTGGGTACTGTAAGAATATTGCGACCAATATTGGCCGGGATCGGCAATGCCGTTAGCATCGCTTGATGCAACACCGCCTTGTTGCTGTACGAAAAGAAGAATAAAAAGTTATTGTATTCGATATTGATTCAAATTGCAAATGTCTGCCAGTTATAAATGTAGTCGTTGGCTTCTTCTTTAAAATGACGAAAGTATAATTGCATTGCCTTGGAAGAAGAAGAACGTCGCTTACAGAATCGTGAAAACGTGACGGCATTAAGTTTCAAGTGTCTTTAGAATTTAATATAGAAGTAAGGCGCCATTAGGAAACTAGGTGCACGAAAAGGGTTGACATATTGCAAATCTTAAATAAAGATTATTGAACGACGACCCCAATTCTAAATAATATGGGTGTATATGCATAACAAAACAATACAAAGATCAAGATCACAGCCATCAGAATTTAGGAAGACGCAAGTTTTAAAACAGATTAAATTTAAGATCGCATAACTTGATCGATAACTTCATTAGCTCAGAAAAGCTTGCTGCATTTGTTCATTATTAATTACATTCCAAAACCAGACAACCCATTCAGTTTGAACTGCCAACTTGGAATTCAGAGTTTTCAAATTTTTTTTGACTGTAGTTCGAGATTAGAAAAATAATTCTGATAATAACGACAAACGAGGCAAGTTGATATAGTCTTCATAAAATATCTAAGATAGAGCAAGTTTAGTCAAAATGGCGATTAAATAACAAAACTAACCTGCCACCATGATATCCATTGCTGTTGTTGATTGGCATCCATATTTTGCCATTGCTGTTGTTGCCCATAATCTACAAAGAGATGCGTAAGCAATAAGTTTTCACATACATTCAGATGATGAAACTTACCGGTCATATATCCCCAATATTGTTGTTGTTGAGAATACTGCTGCCAATCGCCTGCGTTAGACGGCGACTGTTGATTGTCATATGTATGCCATTTGTTGTTACTAGTTGGAAAATTGTTCTATATGAAATTCTTTATTAAAATAATATTCAAATAAATGTGAATGTGTTTGTATATTTAGAATATTAATCGCACCTTGCTCTTTTGATATGAATCGCAACCGGCACCGGTTTCGCTCGTTTCACGTGTACTGTGGGAATTATATTTAGTGCTCCTTGACGTCGTCGAAGTAGAGCCACCGCGACTATCTTCGCGAACGTCGCGGTGGCCGTGCCGAAAATCCCGCTGACTGTTACCAGCGCCAGAACGATAATTGGTGTCACGTCGATTATTACCACTTCCAGCGGAGTTACCAGACCAATTGCGATTGTCACGATTATCCCTATAATCATTACCGCGATAATTGCGATTGTTACCTCCTCCGCTACCATAAGATTCGTAACGACCACTGCCTCCACCACTGTTATTATAACGGCCATGTCGATTATCAAAACGCGGTTGACGATTATTAGTGACCCAGTTTTGAGATCCACCCGCACCACCATAGCGATGAGATGGCAGCTGTTGTCTATTATCATAACCGCGATTACGTTCATCTCTGTAACTGCTCGACATGTTGTTACGATTTCCGCCGTTAGTATTCCAACGTCCACTATCGCCACCTCTATTAGCGTAGTGATAATTGATATTACCTGGAGCACGTCTGTCATTCCAACGCATATCATTACGTGGCTGTTCATAACGTCTACGATCATCATATCGTCGACGGTTATCATTACGATAATTATCACGACGCTGACGTTTATCGCGATTGGCTGGATTTGAATCTATAGCCTTTTTACCTTTTTCATTAATCTTTCGAACTTCTTCCTTGGCTTCTTCGCCATTTAAATCACTGTATAAAATATCATCGAACCAACCAAACTCCAAAGAGGGTAAAGTAAAGTTGGCTGGAAAAAAATATTTATAGTAAAAAATTTTAACATAGATTACAAGCTTAAACATTAATTTGGAAGTTATGCTTCTTCTGAAGCAAATAATAATATAGCTGAACAATAATTTCAGGAATATACAGGGTTCTATCAAGTGGAGATCCCAAAGAATGATTAGCAAATGCTATTGTTTAAAATGCGCCAAATATAGCGTTCCACAAAAACCTTCCTTTAAAGAGTAGAGCTATACTTTAAAAAAAGTATTTATGTGTGAAAGAATTTTTTTTGACATTTATATAAAAACTGTAGTAAACAAAAATTCATTTTTCCAATTGTGAAAAGTTCTAAGATCGTATGTGAATTCTGAGCAAGAAACGAACAATCAGTTCATACATTTTAAACAACCCTCGCGAAAA